CAGGACACGGGGGGGGCACCAGGGACAGGGGGGAACCAGGACACAGAGGGGGCACCAGGGACAGGGGCACACATGAGGAGACATGGGGACACACCAAGGACATGTGGGGACACGCCAGGGACATGAAGTGACACAGAAACACAGGGGGACATGGGGGCACTGGGACACAGGGGGGACACCAGGACCCGGGGGGGACCTGGTGGGGACACAGGGATACAGGGGGACACGGGGGGGACACAGGGACATGGGGGGACACAGAGACATGAGGGGGACACCAGGGACACGGGGGGGGACATGGGGGGACACGTGGGGACAGACAGGGATGTGGGAACAGACAGGGATGTGCCAAAGACACGTGGAGACGTGGGGACGTGCCAGGGATACGCAGGGACACACCAAGGACATGTGGGGACATGTCAGGGGGATGCAGCGACATGTGGGGACACGCCAGGAACGTATGGGGACACACAGGGACATGCCAGGAACACATGGGGACACGTGGACACGTCAGGGACATATGGGGGGACACATCAGGGACCCAGGGACATGTGGGGACACGGGGATTCACCAGGGACATGGGGAGACACACCAGGGATATTCAGGGACATGCCAAGGACATGCAGGGACACCCCAGGGGTACGTAGGGACATGCCAAGGACACGTGGGGACACGCCAGGAACACGCAGGGACACGCCAAGGGCGTTTGGGGCAGCAGGGGGGGACGTGGGGGAAGATGCAGCCCCAGCCTGGGGCTCTACAGCCCCTTTGGGTGCCCTGTCACGGGGGTGGGGTGTCCTAGGACATGCTAAGCACACACCAGAGCACGTTAAGGACACGCCACAACATGCAAAGGGCACAAGGTGTGGTGGGAAGGGGAGTTTGGGGGGAACTGCACCCCCAGGGCTGCTCTGGGGCCAGAGAGGGGGCTCTGAGAGGGGTGGGGTGTCCTGGGACATGCTAAGGACATGCTAGAACACATTAAGGACACGCAGCAGCACACTAGGGACACATGGTGAGAAGGGGGGTTTGGGGGGAGCTGCACCCCCAGGGTCGCTGTGGGCAGCCCCTTCTGGGTGCTGGGAGGTGCTAGGACATGCCTGGACATGCTAAGCACATGTCAAGACATGTGAAGCCCCCTGGGGCAGGGGCTGGGGGGGCTGTAGCTACAGCTTCATCACGGGCAGCGTGAAGGGGGTGGGAGGGTCCCCATAGGCCACGCTAAGCACATGCCAAGCACATACTAAGCACACAGGAGGGTGTGGGGCTGTGCTGGGGGGGCTGCGTGGGGCCCGTGTCCCACCCCAGTCCGTGTGTTGTTCCCCCAGCCCCAGGGAGGGTCGGGGGCGCCGCACACGCCAAGCACACGCTAAGCACACGCGTGTCCCGGCAGATCTTCTGCGTGCACGGGGGGCTGTCCCCGTCCATCCAGACCCTGGACCAGATCCGAACCATCGACCGCAAGCAGGAGGTTCCCCACGACGGGCCCATGTGTGACCTGCTCTGGTCCGACCCCGAGGGTAGGGCAGGACACGTGTGTCGGGGCGTGTTGGGCTGTGTCAAAGCATGTTGGGGTGTGTCAGAGCGTGTCAGGGCGTGTCCCACCCCTTAAACCCTCCCCACCCCCTTGTCCTGCCCCCTCTGGTGTCTTGTGGCCTCCCCGGGGTCACACACGACACACATGTGACACACACGTGACACACACGTGGGTTGTGTGTCCCCCCCCATGTGACTCCGCGTCACGTGACAGACACGTGGGTCACATGTGCCCCCTCCCCAGCCCTCAGCCTGACACACGTGTGATCACAGAGCCACGTGAGCCTGCTCCGTGTGACACGTGTGTGTCTCGTGTGACACAAAAGTGTCTCCTGGGTCCCCCCCCATCCCCCAGCCCGTGTGGCTCCCGGTGACACGTGTCCCTGCAGGCACCTGTGGCTGCTCCGTGTGACGTGTGCACATGTGTGTGTGACGTGGGTGTGTGTGTGACGTGTGTTGTGTGTGTGAGACGTGTGTGGTGTGTGACACGTGTGTGTGATGTGTGACATGTGTGTGAGACGTGTGTTGTGTGTGTGAGGCGTGTGTGTGGTGAGTGACGTCTGTGTGTGACACGTGTGCTGTGTGACGTGGGTGTGACACGTGTGCTTTGAGACGTGTGTGGTGTGACGTGTGTGATGTCTCTGATGTGCACCACAGACATGTGATGTATGTGCTGCGTGTGGTGTGTGACGTGTGTGTGGTGTGATCAGTGGTGTGACATGTGCGTGACACGTGTGCTCTGTGAGACGAGTGTGTCACACGTGTGTGACGTGTGTGCTACGTGACATGTATGTGTGCCATGTGACGTATGTGTGCCATGTGACGTGTGTGTGGTGCGTGACATCTGTGTGTGACATGAGTGACACGTGTGTGGCATGACATCTGTGACCTGTGTGCCATGTGACATGTATGTGTGGGCTGTGATGTGTGTGCCACGTGTGCGCCGCGTGCCGGGTGCGTGTGCCCCGTGTCCCCCGCACTGACGTGCCCCGTGTTCCCCTGTGTCCCCCCGTGTCCCCCCCTGTCCCCCCATGTC